TAAATAAAGAGACAATCACCAAGAAACGTTAAAAATATACTATATTTTTCTGTTGCAAATTGACAATAAAAAACACAATATTAATGTTTGTGTTACAACATTAGCAAAGAGGACCGTCGTATGGTTGGAAAATTCGACGGGGATGGAGATGCGACCTCTTCCATTTTTTTAATATATAATTTTGAAATAAAATTTAAAGAACCTACTATTTGCGTAAAACTACATATTAGGTGCGCAACTAAGTTCTCGCTGTTTTTTTTTTTATGAAAATGCAACTTTATTGTGAAAAAATGGTTACAAATGAATCATTCAAAGTATTGTCCATCGCTAGCTACAACTTTTTCCCATCTTTCTGGCAGAGCTCGAATACCGTTACGGTAAAAGCGTTCGTCTTGTGAGGCTATCCACGAATCAAGCCATTTTTTGATGTCTTCATATGAGCGGAACTGCTGATCAGCCAGACCATGTGCCATCGAATGGAACAAGTAATAATCGGACGGCGCAATATCTGGGGAATATGGCGGGTGGGGTAGGACTTCCCATTTGAGCGTTTCCAAGTAGGTTTTAACGGGTTTGGCAACATGAAGCCGAGCGTTGTCATGCAGTAGAATCACATTTCGTGCCTCTGCTCGTATTGTGGCCGTTTTTCGCGCAGTGCTCGGCTCAATCGCATCAATTGAATTCGATACCGTTCCCCAGTGATGGTTTCGTTCGGTTTCAACAGCTCATAATAAATAACACCGACCTGGTCCCACCAAATACACAGCATAACCTGCGCAGCGTGAATATTCGGCCGAGCCGACGACGTAGAAGCATGACCGGGCAGTCCCCATGACTTTCTTTTCTTTGGGTTGCTGTAATGAATCCATTTTTCATCACCCGTCACGATGCGATGAAGAAAACCCTTTTTTTTTTGCCGCTGGAGCAGTTGTTCACAGGCGAAAAAACGACGCTCAACGTTCTTTGGCTTCAAATCATAAGGAATCCAAGTTTCTTGCTTTTGAATCATTCCCAACGCATGCAATCGTTTGGAAATGGTTTGGCGGGTAACTCCTAATGCTGAAGCAAGCTGTTCTTGCGTTTGGCACGGATCCTCATCGAGCAATACCTCCGATTCAGCGTCTTCGAAGGTTTTTGGCCTTCCTTCACGCGAACGGTCGTCAACATCGAAATCACCGTGTTTGAAGCGACGAAACCAATCACGGCACGTTGTTTCACTTAGAGCAGCATCTCCGTAAACTTTTTGGAGCTCTCGATGCGCTTCAGCCGCCATTTTCTTCGAATGAAATAAGAAAATCAACACTTCCCGCAAATGACGATTATTTGGCACAAAATCAGACATTTTCACACAACCAAGTATATGACGCCAAAACAAAATCACTAACGTGTCAAAGCGGTTTGTTTACCATATGTCTAAGCTTGGTTCATGACGTTTTGGATATGTCAAAATCGACCAGCACTTACTGCTGGATCCATTTATTGACAAACAATGGGAACTTAGTTGCGCACCTAATAACCATATATGATTATATATAACCATATATAATTATATATATAACATTTTTTCACGGGTATTTTAGTACACATTTAGAAAAATTTAGTGCAAAATTATTATCAATCAAAATAGATTAAGGAAAATATAATGAAATATTATTTTGTCTAAATAATAAAAAAAAATATTTATTCGTGAGATATAGCGTGGTTTCGATCCCGTGTGAGGCGACCACCATCTTTATATGATTATGTTGTTCTGATGTCTAACTTGAACAATCGTACGGGAACTGATGATGCCACTACGCTGTAACGATACCTTGGTGAGTTATATTTATAATATATTCTTATATCGTTTAAAAGTGTAATGACATATTTGCTGGTAAATATTTCAAAGGATGTAACAATCACAATGCGATTAATATAATTATAAAAGAGTCTAGCCATAACCTTACTCAAAATATATTGCGAGATAGAAAGAAGGAATATTCTCTCTCTTTTGCGAGCATGTTGTAGGTTAAACTTTGATTACTTATACAACATTATATCAATATAAGTTAAACATCAGAACAGCATGGTCATATAAAGATGGTGACCGCCTCATAGGATCAAAACCACGCGAGTCTCACGAATAAATGAGTATTTTTTTCTTATTATTTAAACAAAATAATATTTTATTATACTTTCCTCAATCTATTTTAATTAATAATGATTTTGCACTGAATTTTTCTAAATTTGTATTAAAATATTGCTGAAATATTAATGAAATTGTAATAAAATTTGAATGAAATTGGGCCAATTGTGAATGCTTTTCAAATTGAGATCTTACATGTGAAATCTTGCGGAAATCTAATATGAGTTCTCAGTTACAATTTCACGTGAGATTTCAATTGAGTTCTCAATTAAGATCTCAGCTTGATTTTTTCAGTAAGGTATACACACACACACGCGCGCGCGCGCGCGCACACACACACACACACACACACACATACACACAAGATATATTTGAATTATCAAAATATATTATTTCTGAAAATAAATCCTCTTCTGGTAGCAGCGGAAAAGATTATTTTTTCCGTGAAATAGATAAGAGAAAGGGAATTTTTATTTAACGCGGTCAAATATTAATAGTAATATTGAGGCGTTGTCATATTTGGAATCAAAATCGAAGGAACAATATTCCCTTCATTCTTATCCAAATGTAAAAAAAATGTTTTTTAAATGTAACACCTCTTTGCCGTCATCAGTTCCAGTCGAGCGTCTGTTTAGTTTTGGACAGCAGATTTATGTACCTAAACGAAATCGTCTATCTGATAATACAGTTTGAAAAACTGTTGTTTTTACGCAATAAAAATATATAAATTAAAGTTCATACATGTTTTCATATTCTATTTATAATTTTTTCCATAACTGTTGTTACATAAATAGTCTTAATAATAAAATTATCTGAAAATTATCTAGATGAATCATTCTATAAATTTACCTTTTATCTAGATGAAATTAAAACGAAATCATCTCTATTTTATCTAAGATGAATTTTGCAACTTCTCATCTCATCTTTATCTAGATAATTTTAAAATCATCTGAGCACAACACTGGCAATAGGCTACTTATATGTTTTTGGGGATATTGAATTTGAATTTTGAAATCGGATTAACCTTAATAGGTTAGAATTGCTCAACTTCAAATATTATCTCAATTCTCTGTTCAGATTCATCAAACATCCTAATTTTCCTAAGTTTTTCACCATATCCGCTACTATTTGTTCGTAGTCATCACTTTTATAATTGCCCAGAAAGTTCTGTACAACTTTCTTAAAACTAATCCACGCAGCCTTTTCATTCTGATTCATTGACTTGATGAAATTCTCATCCTTCAACATTTTTCGAATTTGTGATCCATCGAAAATGCCTTCTTTCAGTTTTGCATCAGATATTCCTGGGAATTGTTTTCCTAAATATTCGAAGCATTTTCCTTCTCCTTTGAGAGCCTTGACGAACTGCTTCATTAGACCAAGTTTTATATGAAAATATGGGAACAATACTTTCTTTGGATCAACCAAAAGGTTAACAATGATGTTGTTTGAACCTGGTTCAAACAAAGTTCTCTTTGGCCATATTTTCTTTTTACAGTGATTGTCACGGTCTCGACTATGTCATAAACATAAGAAGCAAGGGAAATTCGTAAAGTCTGATCGTTGGCCTAATATCATGTTCAAAATTTTAAGACCCCCACAGATTCGCCATTTATGTTCTAAATATTTAATTTTCTCTAAAACTAGTTTCATATTATTGTAATCCTTTTTCAATTCTGTTGAATGTGCAACTGGTATAGGGGTGAGAAAGTTGGTATTATTGAGCAAAACTACTACTTTAGAGAAACTACTTTAGAGAAACTACTTTAGAGAAACTACTTTAGAGAAAATTAAATATTTAGAACATAAATGGCGAATCTGTGGGGGTCTTAAAATTTTGAACATGATATTAGGCCAACGATCAGACTTTACGAATTTCCCTTGCTTCTTATGTTTATGACATAGTCGAGACCGTGACAATCACTGTAAAAAGAAAATATGGCCAAAGAGAACTTTGTTTGAACCAGGTTCAAACAACATCATTGTTAACCTTTTGGTTGATCCAAAGAAAGTATTGCTCCCATCTCTTCATATAAAACTTGGTCTAATGAAGCAGTTCGTCAAGGCTCTCAAAGGAGAAGGAAAATGCTTCGAATATTTAGGAAAACAATTCCCAGGAATATCTGATGCAAAACTGAAAGAAGGCATTTTCGATGGATCACAAATTCGAAAAATGTTGAAGGATGAGAATTTCATCAAGTCAATGAATCAGAATGAGAAGGCTGCGTGGATTAGTTTTAAGAAAGTTGTACAGAACTTTCTGGGCAATCATAAAAGTGATGACTACGAACAAATAATAGCGGATATGGTGAAAAACTTAGGAAAATTAGGATGTTTGATGAATCTCAAGCTGCACTTTTTGAATTTTCATCTCGATTATTTCCCAATGAATTTAGGAGACTATAGTGAGGAACAAGGAGAACGATTTCACCAAGATCTAAAAGTAATGGAACGTCGCTATCAAGGGAGATGGGGTATAAATATGATGGCTGACTACTGTTCGACTTTGAAAAGAGAAAATGTACGAAAAGGAGTCAAACGTAAAAGAAAGCCACTCCATAGATCCTTTGAGGATAAAAGAGTTAGATACTATAGGAAAAAGTGAACAGAGAATTGCGATAATATTTGGAGTTGAAGAGCAATTCTAACCTGTTAAGGTTAATCCGACTTCAAAATTCAAATTCAATATCCCCGAAAACATGTAAGTAGCTTATTGCCTACAGATTTCAGTCGCCAGTATTCATTTTTCAGCTTCAAAGACGCAATTTCAGCGATTTTGAGGTATTTTTTGAGGTTAGGGACGAATGGTGACATGATAGGGTTTAACGGACAACGGATCGGATCCAGTGACCCCGAAAACATAGGTATGGTGGTGTAGTCTAGCGAACAGCAACTTTTTTTCTTTTTGTATGCCTGTGTTATTACACGAAAGCGGTAATCTTAATTGAAGACACAATATGTATATTGTTAAATTCATATGAGAAATGATAGACTTTATCGTGAAGTTACGATTTATTTACATAGGTATCAAGGTTTAAGCGTACTCTCATAGAATATTATATATAATCGTTCTGGAGAACCGGTATAGAAATCAGCGTAGTATTTTCCGATAGAAAACGATAGGAGCTTTATGAGCTTGCTTTTATATGATATAATTACTACGCGGAAACGGAAATCTTAATTGAAGATATAAAATGTGTATTGTAAATTTCATATAAAAAACGATAGACTTTATCGTGAAGTTGCGATTTATTTACATAGGTTTCAAGATTCAAGCGTTCTCTTATAGAATTTTATATATGTTTTTGTTCCGGAGAAGCAGTATAGAAACCAGCGTAGTATTTTCCGATAGAAAACGTTAGGAGTTCTATGAGTCTACTCTTATATGATATGATTACTACGCAAAAGCGGAAACCTTAATTGAAGATAAAATGTATATTGTATAATTCATATAAAAAATGATAGACTTTATCTTGAAGTTGCGATTTATTTACATAGATCTCAAGGTTCAAGCGTACTCTCATAGAACATTATTTATAATTGTTCCAGAGAATCGGTATAGAAACCAGCGTAATATTGTTACGATAGAAGCTCTATAGGACTCTTATATGATGATTACTATGCGAACGTATAGACAAAACGTAAGACATTTATATCGATCGAAGAAGTGGGGTAGTGTTTAAAGCAACAGACTTATAATCCGCGGATATGCCTCAGAGTCCAAGTTCGAGTCCGACCAGTGCTAGTGAGAATTTTTATATGTGATATGATATTGGAATCAAATAATCTACAATTTTCGAATAGTTTCTGTTATAAAAAGTAATATATATCATATATAAAAAATTTAAGAAGTGTATACGTCTGTAATAAAAATATATTAAAGCTGATACATAAGCTATATGAAAAATTTAGATACAGAAAGATAGAAAATCTGTATCTGAAATTTCAGACAACCAATCTGATATTTACGAACCAAAAGCATGAATCTTATTAATTTCGATAAAATATGACCATATAAAAATATATTAAAAATGATACATTAGCGCTATATGAAAAATTAAATATAGAAAGATAGAAAATATATTTGAAATTTCAGATAACCAATCTGATATTTACAAACCAAGAACACAATAGAATCAGGTAAATATTTTTCTATCTGATCCTATCAGATTTTTTAATCCAGGGATTTCGCATAGAGAATGATAGTATCTAATATCTTATCATAGGAAATGATATATTTTTATTCGTGATATTTTCGTAACAATTAATATATAATATATATAATATATATAATATATATATATATATATATATATATATATATATATATATATATATATATCGAATATTTTATACTATTTTACTCCAACTAATAAAGTAATGTGT